GCGCACTAAAATCGAGAAAAGTTTATTTCAAAAGTTGCCGGTTTTTTTGCAATAACAACACTTTGCAATTGAAAAATGAAAAATTTTTTGATAATGGTACCAATGGGGAGTCAGAACCTTCCAGATGCAAAAGGTTTCGTTCCTATCGTTCCACCCAGCTAGGCGTAATCGGCGAACGTACATAGAAAAAAAAATATACTGATCGAATTGAGTTACCTCCTCCTTTTTCGAAGTCGGTTAAAAAGAGAGGTACAGCTGTTAGCTGATTTATGGCACGCACGTGTTTACGGTAAGACTGTTTCGGACAGGATTTGAGAGACAAAAGGGTCCTCGGTGATCCGTATTTCGAGGTATAAACTATTCACGGTGGCCTACGCGCCGAACCACTTGAACCCTGCAATAAATCGTTTAGTCGCGGCAAAGATCTCGGTTCGCGGTCGAACACCCATAACATTATCTAGCTGTGATCATTCTACCTCCGTTTCAATTTTAAGATAGATATCCTCAATACACCTTTTACATTTACTACCATTCCTCAATAGTTTAGAATACCATTTCAATATAAAAATTATAAAAAAATGATCGAAATTATAAAAAAAGATGTTTTCGGAGTTGCAGCAAAATCAGCATTTTTCATAGTTTTTGCTCTTTTCAGAGTTACTATAGGTTTTACAAATGTGGAACAGTACTGAATGAGCAGATACAGCTCGTACAATTCCACATACTCTAATTGTAAGTTAATCATGAACATATTACACTTCATGCAAATACAATCCACGTTTTTAGATCTTGGTCGGCTACGAACCGAGACCTCCGCTGCGACTAAGGGATTTATTACAGGGTTCAACGCGTAGACCACCGTAAATAGATTTATACCTCGGAATACGGGTCACCGAGGACCCTTTGTGTATCAAGTTCTGTCCGAACCGATTCTAGTGTAAGCATGTGCTTGCCACAAATCGGCTAACATCTATACCTTCTTTTTTTAACAACTTCATCAAAGAAAATCATAGATTTTCTCGACTGTCACCCTCTGAAACGCGAGGGTGTTCGGACGATTTTTCTGTATCAAAGACACAATCGATTGTTGAATCTTGTGCTGGTCGAATCGAGAGTCAAAAAGTTCGGCGTAAAGTAACGTAATTACCGCTCAAAAGTATGTGGACACTTCTTCAATTCTTTTGAATGCGCGAAAATGTGATAGCTTTGAATTATTTGTTTATCTTATATGTATTCCACTTCCTCCAGTGTTAGAGGACATATTGTAATAATAATTTGTTAAATATCTTACAGATAGCAATGAAATATAATCATATTTTCTTGTCGTCAATATGTCCATCGCGTGATTAAATTTCCGCGTTGATGAGTCGTGGCATCCTGGCTATTAATCATGTTTACAAATGTTTACGTTATTCTTTAGAGTGCAACAGACCTCGCTTAAGCGATGCAGTCATTGTAAATTAGCAGAGAAAAGACCCACAAACTTTATGCGCACAACACAATACATATAACGCACCTTTCCACCCACCGGATAGACATTTATTTATTTCAGAAAGTTGAATAAATAAATTGATAATTTAGTACTATTATAATACATTACATTCATGTTAATATTAGAGTTTATGAACAAATATTGTTTAACGATAAAAATATACAATATGTATCACAAAATTTAAGAAAATGTAAGTGTCCACATAGTTTTGAGCGGTAGTGTATAATAACCATTGCAGACTGGTTCTTGAGATGAATCATAACACTATTCGAGCGGGAATTCCACGTAATGCGGATTATAACACGAATCGTAACAATATTGAACGAGACCCTGTGCTCCTCAAATCAATTAACAACAACATTGAGCGAAACTCTATGCTCCTCGAATCTATTCACAACATTAAGCGAGATCCTGTGTTTCTCAAATCAATCAACAATCATACTCGACAATATACACAAAGTATGCATACTCATTTAGACTTTAACTGTTCAATCACTAACAAATACATATTTTATACCGCAAGGCTTCTTCCCCTAATTCGAGTCATTCGAGCCAATAAATTATCATGATTTTTCAGGCTGGATTCTGTCTAAATACTTTTTATTTACCCTCCTCCGCAGTCAAATTCATACATTTCTTTGAAACACGAAATTTCTTCATGTTGGAAAGATTTCGACGATACAGATCTACCATATATCGAATACTACCACCAGTACGCATACCTGTCTCGGGTCCTACATTTTATAGGAGCCAAATTCTTGTGTTAAATAAATTAGTATAAAGAGTGTAATAAAATACAATTGCCAGAATATTATGTATGTATAGAAATCAGTCGTGCACCGAATGGAAGGTATAAAATGTACGTATAACTCCAACCATAGTAATATTTTTTGCACGAGACAAATTACAAATTCCCATTTATTCGTACATTTTATTTGGGCCCATAGTTTACGTATGTTTCACCAAAATAGTTCAACGTTCTCTTTAAAAATTCTGCACAATAATTTTAATTTTTACTATTTTTTAAACAAACAAATTTTTCAAAAATCCACTCACGCCATATTATTATTGGCCTTTCAAAACGGAAAAATTTGCATTTTGAATTTTTTACCTATAGTTAATAGTTCCCGAGATTTGTGGAAATGGTTTTTTCAACTCCAAAAAAGTTTATCTTCATCACTTCAAAGTGGATATTCGCACGTAAAAAAAATACGTGTCAAATATTTTTTCAAGCTCTATAACATATTAAAATTTCGTTAAAATCGCAGTGTAACGTTTGGAAGATATTCCTTGTTAGTAAGTAAAATAAGTGTTGTTCTCAATGCGTTAAGGTGTTGATCAATATATTGCTTGATTTGTTATTTTTGATAAATTGAAATAAACAATTGATCACTAACACATATTATGTAACGTCATTAACTAAATATCAGACTTTAATTTAAAAGTAGAGGAAAGTATCTCATTATTATAAGCTTTTATATAGCACTATATAATTTATTAAAAAATTAGAGTACATACATTTTTATTAGATGAAGTCGCAAAGTAAAATTGTACATAAAAATATTAAAATTTTTTATAAAATACTATTTTATTTTATTTTTTATAAGTATATAGACAAATATCCAATGTCGGTCATGTGATGTTAGATAATCGAGTTCTAAGTTATCGAATATTATTTTCCTAAATTATTGTATTAAAAAGTAAGCCACAAATATAATTCTCCGTTCTGTCTAAATAAAAACACATATCATGTCTGCCCTCACAGTAAAGAGTACACGTAATCCTCTTTTTTTCAAGTTCTTACATTTGATCACGTTGATTGCAAATATTCGTTTTAAAATATGAAGAAAATCTTCATCTACTGTGTAATTTTAACGATAGCAACCGTGATTAATAATAAATAATAAACGAACAATAACTACCCTGAACTGTAAAAAATAACAAGTACGGGTAACTTTCGAGTACGTATGTCTGATGTTATCTGCACGACAACTCTAAGGATTAATTGGCGTTACATCATTCGTGAGCATAGAATTTTGAGGAGTTCGATAAACTCCGCAAAAATTATTCGGACGTGGTTCACCGATATTTAAGTAAATCGTCACGTTTTGTGGTACCACCTTCAGCGCGTTTGGTTTGATGTATTTGAGAGGATTACCGTCAAGGTAAAGTGCTTCCAATGGCATATTAGGTGTATCGAACATGTAATTGATGATGGTAAGTTTGTTTCCCGATAGATTCATGTATCGAAGGCTCTTCAGGTATCTGCCCCAATATTCCGGCAAGTAATTGAGTTGATTATCATTCAGATACAACTCTTCCAACATTTCCTGCGACTGAAATGTGTCCGTGGCTATGCACGAGATTACGTTTCCGGCCAAAGACAGCTTCTTCAGATATATCAAATTCACGAAGGAGTATGCTGATAAACACATTATATTGTTGCAGTCCATCGACAAGACAGTTAAGTTCAACGGTGTTTTGAAAGGTATTGTATCGAGCATGTTATAATCCAAAATAGCAACCTCCAATGAAGTCAAATTCACGAATGTTTCAGGATAGATGGTTGCCAAAGTATTCTTCGAGAGATTCAAGTATCGAAGTTTAACCGTGTCGTTGAATGCCAACCTGTCAATATAATTGATTTCATTGTTCATTACCGAAAGCTGTTGCAAACTCTTTAGACCCGTCAGGTCAAGACTATCTCGACCTATACCTCGAAGTTTATTGTTATCCAACGTTAACGATTTCAGATTGCTTGATTCATTGAGACGGACACGTGAAAGTTTATTGTCATTAATCCTCAAATGTGTCAGTGTGCCATTCCATAACTGAATAGGATCGAATGAAGTTAATCTATTTCCGGAAAGGTCCAGGTGCTTCAAGGTTCGAAAAGGATAACTTATATTGCTCGATATCCCAGTGATTGGATAATATCCTAAGTTATTGCTTAAATTCAAATACTCCAGTGGATCAAACATGTAGTTTATCATCAACACTCCGCTGGTAGGTCGTACTATTTGATCATTCATGAGCAGTATCCTAATGTTTGGCAAACTACCATAAGAGAACATATCCGACGGTGCAATCAAGTTTCCCTCGAGATTCAGATACATCAGATTTGGTATTCCATCGAAAGCGTTTAATTCAGCGTACTCGATACCGCTATTTGCAATGCTCACGCATCTTAGATCGAGAGATTGAATGAATTCTGCATGTAGTTTACTGCCAACTGAACTGTTTAATTTTAGAGTCAAGTTGTGACAAATATCAGGGAATTCATCGCCCACGGACGTTCTGCCATGCATTAGTAACGACGAAAGAATGATTGCGAGGAGCAGCATCTTGGTGACTGAAAAACTTGCAAAAACAAAGTACATTTTATTATTCATTAATAATTAATAATCTGAATGTACATTTTTTGTTATTGCTAAATATTTTATGTTAAATAATGTATGTTTATTATCCAATAATGTTTAATGTTCTGACTAAAAGAATAAAGCTTTTATTATATTCAGAGGAACTTGTCTCAATTTGAACATTAATGAATTATTATAATCGCTTATTAAACAGATAATATTTCAGCTATTCAGTCTTTCTTAGTATCAAAACAAAGTAATGTGCAATATTATGATAAAAAGTAAAAGTAAAGCAAATAAAACAAATTTTAAACATTACAATATAGAATATAACATAACCAAGGACAGTTCAGTTTTATTAAAAATTTCAATGAAATTATATATTTTTCTTAAGAATTTTCATTAGTTAATACGTATATTTTGAATTTTACTTAAGTTTGAACATTTTGAAATATTTCTGACGGATAACGGGTTTTACAGGGTGTTCACATGCTAGTGGGCATTATATCAGGGGGTGGTAATTGGGGTAATGCCGAATAACTTTTTCCTTAACCTAAATATTAATAAAAACTTAGTTTTTAAATTAGTAATGAAAAATAATGACCAATCGCAGCGCGAGAGTTACAAAGACCAATGGGTTTGTGCGAGACCGTTGATCGTGATCGTGAATAAACGCGTTTGTAGTAATGAAATTGTATAACAAGATTCCATGTTATCGAAGTCAAATAAAGCAACGCATAAATCGAATTGTAATCAATTTACATCAATTTTTCAACATTGAAAAGTTGAAAAAGAAAGACATACTGAAATGATTACTTTGCACAATATATTTTAAGCATAAATATATATTACAGAAATGATTATCACAGTGATTATAAAGAAATGGCAAATTATTGCAAGAAAGTATAAATATGTTCCAGAAAAATGGCAAAATATTTATTACAAATAAATTACGGGTGAATGTACAGATTTCAACCATTTTTTTCCGACCGTCATAATTGCACATTCCATTAAATAAATTTATAGTTATTGAAACGTATTATTTTTTAAACAATATTTATTATGTTACTTGGGTTAGTAAATTATATACCCAGTTAACAATATTTTTTAATTTATCATTAAACCCTGTCATATTTCAAAATAAATGGACTTAGGCCAGCTTCAAAGTAAACTGTTTATATAATACATATTGTCGCATTTTATCGTTCTTGTTCTTCATTGAGGAACCATTTACAAATACAAAATACCTCTGTTTGTTCCTATTCAAAAGATACAGATTAAGAAATAATCATTTTTATAGAAAAATAGGTTTTTATATATTTTGTTTGTATATAACATTTGAATAAGCAAAAACCTGTTCTTCAGATATTTTTTATTTTCAAACTTATTTTCGCCGGTCTTCGTATTTAGAGTCTTATTTATTTTCACTCTCCATTTAATCAATACAGTGCAAAATAAATTAGTAGTTCAATTTTATTTAGAATTTTGACTTGCACCACTTTCATAATCACTAAGTATGAATATATGAATCATTAATTAACTTTTGCAATACACTCCTATTTATTTGACTTCGTTCAAAATATCTACTGTTTGGTCTGAAACATTTCTTTGCACGTACAAGTGAATCATTATTAATTTGTTGCTATTTTTCTGCAAGCTGGCCAGCACAACCGCAATTATACGCCGCTACATTTTGTTTCGTATTCAAAACCCACCTATAAGTTAACAATTGAAGGATTTATTGACGACTATATCCATCATGGAGATGTGGCAGAATTCTGTGTAATGACGACCATATCCGTCATGCGTAAAATTTTGTTACAATTTTGATATTTAATTTGTAATTTTGGCGAAGACTAAATTACATTCGTAAATTGTAATATGTTTAAAATGTTTAGAGGTCAACACGAAATGAAATAAAGTAATAAAAAGTGTAAATGATTTGAGATGGATTCATAAATTCTTGAGAGCTAACTAAGAGAGCTTGATTATCGCGACACACACTGGTGCACACTTTGCAAAAAAATCGCCACAGTTAATTGGTTAAAGTGGGGTAGGTCCACTCAAAAAAATTACATATCACGTAATTTGTGCTTAATTTAGTATAAATTATTTACTTATAACTAGTTAATATTCAACATTTAAAAAAAAAACTCATGCTTTATTAGCATGATTCCTTATGCTTAAGGGTAATAAATCCATATACTACCCCTAAGTATATATTACTTTATTCAAATTCGTCTAAAGAAAATTCATATAATCAAATTATATATTGATAAATTAGTAGAAACATTGCCAGACTTGATATAATTAATCTATATTTTTTAATTGACTAACCTTCAATATTCTCCAAACAAAAGAAAATGCACTTACACCACTTCCAAAATAAACAGCCCAATTAGTATTTCTAATCAGAATGAAGACATATTCAGAAATTACGACATAGCAAAAATATCTAAAAGAAAAGACTGTTTGTGCTTCTTATTGTGATAATTATTGTATAAAATTAAACTAGGCCCATTGTAAAATTAATCATATAGTAATCTATATATTTGACAAATTAGTGCATGAACGATAATAACTAACTTAGTTCAGCTAAGGAAACCCCAAAGTATGCTTTAAATTGATGAAACTAATTGCTCATGCTCAGTTTGCACTTGAATTAACAACATTACTGAACAAAAGATACGGGAAATTACTTACCAACCTCTCCCCGTTTCAATATCACTTCTTTTTCTCTCGTTTCTTACAAATTCCTTCCCTCGCGTCATCTTTTCCCCGTATTGCAGCGATAGCTATAAAAACACATGCTAATATTAGTACCGAGACTCGAGTTTGCATCAACTTACAGAATTTTAAATCTTGCATTTACACCGTTACGAGTATAATATTAACATTTTAACACAGCGAATGATCGAATATATTAAAAATAGTATAAATTGTTTACATATAAATAAGACATGAGCACTAAAGAAACATAATGCCGTAAGTGGCTGTTTTCACACAATTAACTTTGTCCTAAAACCAGAAAATAATCATTCTCGATTATGATGATTCGAAAATCGTTAAAACACGTAAAGGTGAATAACAGCTTTTGTCAATAATGTCAACCAATCAACAATTTACAAAGCAGCAAGGTCGATCATATTTTCATTTTTACGGGCTTCTCATTTTGTTCATCAACTATCTCAATCACCAATTATGAATATAAGTATTGCCATTATAAATTGTAAACAGAAGAAAACAGATCTACATACGGTTGGTAATCAGTATTACTTGACAATTTTGCCTCAGACGACCACGGATTCTCGATACGTACCTCGTGATTTTCTGTGAAAGAGTGGTACTTTTTACAATCTTCGTAGCGTCCCAAATGATGTCATCCTAAAATCGCTTCGCGTGGGAATGTTCCCTGCGAATCAGGTTTACGGTGCTCGCGCGCATAGTTATGATTGGCTGATTCTCTTACAGGAAAAAAGAACGCGTCCTTCTACGAATTCGAAGTTGCTTTCTTATTTTTGCCATATTTCCTGCTCAGTCACAAAGGAGGAAAATGTTAAAACAAAAGAAGGAAGCGCTAAATATTTACAGACATACAGATATATATGATTAGGAAATTCATCTACAGGTAAAAGCGAAAAAATTATGCCTACCACTAAAGGGTATTTAGCTTTGAAATGCTAGTTTGTTCGTCGAAAAGTGTAAGGTGATCCGAGTTCAGGTACATCTGTGGAATAATACCAATGTAGGTATAAAACTTGATTATTTTTAATGTTTTTGTTGTCAAAGTTTTAATAATAAATTTTTGACATTTTTCTGATTAAAATCAGATCAAACATGATATATTCTGGACTACATTTATTAGTTGTATTGAAGATAGTATTTTTCGAATGCGAACAAGGAGGGCAATTAAAAAAGAAAGAAACGTTGCAATTGTGCCATTTAACAAACATTGAAAATCTGTTGTTTTATTTACAATATGCATGCGTTGTTAATTTTTTTTATTCTTAGTCTTTTTGTTATACAACGATTACCATCATGTTTATGACTGTTTCCTGTTTCAAAAGAAACCAAACGCGACATAATTCGAAACATATTTACTTGCAGTAATTTAATAGGGTAAAGTTTTCGATATAGATAAAATACTTTGAATCACAAGTACTTATGTCCCGATTTACGTTGTGTATAGTCGCATTTGAATAAAGAAAATATCACCAATTAGTTTGGCAGAAAATCATTAGAAAAAAAGTAAAAGTTTTATTTTTGCATTAGGATTGACCAGTCGTTCAGATGCTGTCTTCATCTGCTATTCTTTTTAATGTTCGGAAAATTTCAATTAATTCCATGGCTGCATATTTTATTCGAGTATTTTCATTGTTTGCTATCGATTTATACACTCAATCAGATCCATCGAACTACGTATTTCGCCGTGTAGCCAAAAAAAACAATGTATCTGCAGGAAACCGTGCTAGTGTCGACATTAACATGTAACCGTTACATCAATACTTGGATACTACAATACTCCTGTGCTTTTTACTGTATGCAAGAAGGGATGATTTATATGTATATCATAATGTGTATTTTAAAAAGAAAGGAATCATTTATTGTAAATTCAAAATATATAAACAATTATTCTTCAACTATAACATTTCGATGTGCAATACATTTTAAACGATAGATTATTATGATTTCACGTCACATTAAGGGTCAAGTCTAGTGACCGAATACTCCGAGTACAATTTTTTGGGGATTTTTGGGACCGTTCGCGGAAAATTGATACATTTCGACGATCTTTATTTATCTGGTTGTAACATTCCCGGAGAAATTTTTTGCTTTTAATCTCCATCTTGGCAGTCTTACATTCGCTTCATTATCCCAAGATAGAATGGTTTAGTTATCGAGAGCGATTATCTATTACCAACAGTAGCACATTATATACCGATTATACGTATCAAGTTCGACCGTTGGTAATCAGTATATATATATATTAGAATTTCTATTGGAAATATACATATATTTCTAATTTGCAATTATTATTTTATATTGTGTGATTTTGAGTTGAAATAAGTTATATGTTCTCCGGAACCAATCAAAAGTTAAGTTTCTTATAAAAACAAAATTCATGTATTATTTTATTTCGTTCAAATAAATGTATAGTTCTTTATGGAAATTTCCATGACGCTACGTACTACGACGTCGTCTCGAAATTGCTGAAACCAGCGCAAATCGTAGAGAAGGATAGAGATATAATTTCTATTTACAGCATTATTAGATGTTAAACTTATTAATTAACTAAATCAATCAATACACATAAAGTTAACCAGTATTATACTATTTATAGCCAAAACCAAAATTATTTTCTTGTACTAAAAAGTTGTAAACCGGAATATTATACTGTGGAAAATTCCACGAGCATTGTATGCTTATACGTGTAGACCCGGTCCTTGTAGAATTCGTGCGCAATTCATGGAAAAGGACAGAAAACGTATTTTTCATTAAAACACCATTAGACTACTATTTTTGTATCAAAACGTTAGCTATTAATTAAAGCGCGATATTAACAATGTAAGTAAATTATTCGCTTTCACAATTAATGTCTAATCACGAATGTATACGAAAATTATATATTTTGACGTCACAGAAATTCCAGGAATTTGGCAAACCTGAGGGTATAAAAGGCCGAGTGAAACCCGCCTAGACAGCAGAACAGTCTTCGAAGTCGAACGCGTTAGAAGTCACGAATAAGTATAAACCGGAACAATTTTCGCTGAAAGAGCCGAAACGATTCTAACAATAAGTTCTCGATTGGAAAGCGGGTATACGCCATTTGGATACTTGATCGCTGGGTTGTTTTAGCAGCTAGCGAACTGCAGGCTCCCCAATTCTGGTTTTGTGTGTCAGTGTGCGCTCTGATAAAAAGGATCATGGACAATTAGTTGTCGAGTCAAATTATAAAAGAGTAATTGTTCTGAGAAAATTCATTAACTTTAGACAAATTTTAGAATTTGAATTAGAAAGAGAATATTGTTCTGTCTCTAGCGTATTTTTCGTAGTCGACTCCACCGCGTTAGATAATAGATAAAATTATTGTGGGATCGGTTTATTCGATGTTCATCGAATACGATCGGGCGCGAACGGGCGAGCGGGAAACGTGGACGATTGGCGCCAAGATAGTTCGGCGGTATTATGAGTTGCCGCGAAAATTAGCGAGGGAACGAAGAATTAGCTAGCATTTGTTTCCTTTTACGCGGGAACCCAGGGAGAACGCGGAAAACGGCGTAGCGTCGGGAGCAGCCTCGTTGTAACGTTGAAAGTAGGAAGTCGTCCGAAAAGTTGTATCAGTGTCCGTATTTGATTCTTATATTTCGTTGATTCTTATACTCTTGTTAAATTATTAAAATTATTATCCTGTTATTGTTGTTCCCAAAAAAACTTTTCAATTCCGTCAACCTCGATAATTTCCGATCCTACATTATTAATCTGTCTAACTTTGCGAAAGCGTATTTAGATACACTTAGAGAATCACACTTAGGTCGGATTCCTCGCTGCGGTAGACTATAATGCGCTAATATTATTAATCTTGCAAAAGCACATTTATATAAATTCAGAAACCGAATCAAACGTATTAATCAAGTAAAACCTTGTCATTGCGATAGCTTCAATAAAATAATTTTCAGAAAAAAAATACACCGACTTCGAAATGCACTAAAAAGTATAAAATTGTAGACAATTATATTATATGTATTATATGTTACGAGCGCCCGTAGTTTGGTGGGGGTACAGGTGATCGCGATACCTCTAATCGAAATTTGCGAGCAGTCCTCGATAGATTAGCACGAATAGAAGAGCAATAGTGGCCAGCGTTATGTTTATAGTTATTTTTCATTCTCTTATTACTATTTTATATTAATAAATACTAATAAGAAAAGTTCTGGCGTGCATTTAATCTAACAACAAAAATAATTTCTATTTCCTAATGAAGTAATTTCTATTTCATTC